AAAATTACTGTAGTACAAAAATACTTTGGTACAAAAATACTTTAGTAAAAAAATACTTTAGTACAAAAATACTCTAGAACAAAAATACTTTAGTACAAAAATACTAAATTACTATAGTGCAAAAATACATTAAAACAAAAATACTTTAGTACAAAAATACTTTGATGAAAAAACGCTTTAGTGCAAGAATATTTTAGTACAACAAAATTACTAAAGTACAAAAATAACTGATTAAAAAAATTCTTTTAAATTTTATAAACTTTTTGATAAAAAAGTATTTATAACAAAATGTAATTTAAACAGAAAAACTATTTGAATAAAAAATTATTTTTGACAAAAATTATTTAATAATTAGAATAAAAAGAATAAATTATTTACAATAAGTGAATGCATAGAATGCTAAAGGTAACACAATGTTGTTTCTCAAAAAAAAAAAAAAAAAAAAGAAAAAAAAAACACTAAAGTTGATTGCAATTATCTAAGTACGAACTTTGGTTGATTGATTATACACTCTTAGCTAATAATTAATTAAAGTGACATATAATCGATTTGCAGATTAAGTTACATTGATTATTTTTTTTTTTTTTTTGTTTTGTTATGTTATGTTTCGCGGCGGCGTCTCACGTGAGGCAATGAAATTATCCAATTTACCTGAATCAATGGCCAGAGTTAATGACACAGAAGCAACATTTTGACGGTCACTGTCAAGGTCAGCATTTTCAATTGCATAATTCAGTTACGAGCGCGATTTTTTTCTCCGTTTTAATCAGATAAGAAATTAAAAATATTTCCTAAAATGACAACAATTTGTTTTCATTGTATATTATTGTTATTATTAATTAAAGTAGGTAAAAAAAAAATTAATTTCTATTTTTCCTGAAAAATTTTTTAATCATGTTGTCACATTTTTATAAAATATATAACATACTTTTTACTTTAAATAACTTATTATAGTAACAAAATATTTTGTTTCAATCTACAAATATTAGAGTAAATAAAAGCCCTCTACAAAAATAAATATCTATATGGAAAATGGAGCATTTTTCCAAAAATTTTGAATTTTACTCCATTTTCCATTGTTTTCAACCCTTTAATCCCCTAAAACAATAGAAAATAGAGCATTTTATAAATTTCAACCTTTTTTGCTCCATTTCCCATTGTTTTAGAGTAGAAAATAATTTTCAGTAGAAAGTATTTTTATGATTTAAAAGAGTATTTTTGAGTTAAAAGTATTGTTTTATAAATAAAATGTAATTTGAAGTGAAAAATATTTTTGAGTACAAAGTATTTTTGTGCTTAAAGTATTTTTTATAAAAGATATTTTTGAGCACAAAGTATTTTTGAGCACAAACTATTTTTTAAAACGTATTTTTGAGTTCAAAGTATTTTTGAGCATAAAGTATTTTTTATGAAACGTATTTTTAAGTTCAAAGTATTTTTGAGCATAAAGTATTTTTGTATACAGAGTAATTTTGAGCAAAAAGTATTTTTGAGTTCAAAGTATTTTTAAGCATAAAGTATTTTTGTCTACATAGTATTTTTAAGTATAAAGTATGTTTTTCTACATAGTATTTTTGAGCATAAAGTATTTTTGTCTACATAGTATTTTTGAGTACAAAGTATTTTTGTGCTTAAAGTATTTTTTATAAAAGGTATTTTGAGCACAAAGTATTTTTGAGCACAAATTATTTTTTAAAACGTATTTTTGAGTTCAAAGTATTTTTGAGCATAAAGTATTTTTTATGAATCGTATTTTTAAGTTCAAAGTATTTTTGAGCATAAAGTATTTTTGTCTACAGAGTAATTTTGAGCAAAAAGTATTTTTGAGTTCAAAGTATTTTTAAGCATAAAGTTTTTTTGTCTACATAGTATTTTTAAGTATAAAGTATTTTTTTCTACATAGTATTTTTGAGCATAAAGTATTTTTATCTACATAGTATTTTTGAGTACAAAGTATTTTTGTGCTTAAAGTATTTTTTATTACATGTATTTTTGAGCACAAAGTATTTTTGAGCACAAACTATTTTTTTAAAACGTATTTTTGAGTTCAAAGTATTTTTGAGCATAAAGTATTTTTTTCTACATAGTATTTTTGAGCATAAAGTATTTTGAGCAAAAAAGTATTTTTGAGCATAAAGTATTTTGAGCAAAAAAGTATTTTTGAGCATAAAGTATTTTGAGCAAAAAAGTATTTTTGAGCATAAAGTATTTTTTATAAAACGTATTTTTGAGTTCAAAGTATTTTTGAGCATAAAGTAATTTTGTCTACAGAGTAATTTTAAGCATAAAGTATTTTTGAGTTCAAAGTATTTTTAAGCATAAAGTATTTTTGTCTACATAGTATTATTGAGTATAAAGTATTTTTTTCTACATAGTATTTTTGAACATAAAGTATTTTGAGCAAAAAAGTATTTTTGAGCATAAAGTATTTTTGTGTACAAAGTATTTTTATATAATCGAAATGTATTTTTTGAAAATAAAGTAATTTTTTTTTGGGGGGGGGTGAATTATTAAGTATTTTTGGATACAAAAATTGATTTTGAGTAAAAATTAGTTTCTATTTCCAAAAAAAAACAAAGTATTTTCAAAGAAAATTTTTTTAAAAAAATTAAAAGTATTTTCCATTGTTTTCAACCCTTTAATCCCTTAAAACAATGGAATATGCAGCATTTTATTAATTTCAACCCTTTTTGCTCCATTTTTTATTTTATTACAATGTTTTCTCTCTATGAAAGGAATACTTAACTACAAAAATACTTTGGTACAAAAAATATAAGCATGAAAATACTATTTGTAAAAAATTATTTTTTATATTAAAATATATTTTATTCATAAGGTTATTTTGTTTATAAATTACTGATTTCTCAAAAGATACGAGTGTAAATAATAATTTAATTTCTATTATCTATATAGTTATGAGAATATAAATGCGGCTATTTAGGAAATTAGTAATGTTTAATATAGCTAATGGATTATATTTAAAAAAAAATTGATCCAGAAAAATCGTTGTTGCCTTATATTAATTCATACATAGATAAATACATGTAGGTTGACAAAGTATCAAATTAAATTTTCTTGCATAACTGAAAATTAATATCTTTTGATTAAAATATGAAATCGGAAATTTTTAAACTTCTTTTAACACCGTCTCAATTATTATATATTATTGTTGCATAATCGACGCCTACTATATAAGAAATAATCTTTCTCTTCAATTTATTGTTACGTTGGTATTTGCGTTTCTTAATTAAAATCATTAGTTTCAAAAATGCTTTTTTCTTTTTTTTTTTTTTTGCTAACTCTAATGATTTTTTTTTTACTTATATTTGTGAAATATTTAATAACACGAATGTTATTAAAATTTTTGTAAAAAATTTTAATGAACCAAAAAAGGCAAATTATTGTTATTAACTTTTTTCCAATGATTATAGAATATAATTGACGTGGAATTAAAAAAATTATTTTTTAATGTTTTATTTTTATTACTGTTTTCTTATTTTGTAAACAAAATTTGTTTTAAGAAGTATAGATTTTTATCAATTTTATGTTTTTGAATTTTTTGACAAAAATATGTTTTTGTACAATACTTTTTAGGCAAAAAATAATTTTTTTTAGTGTATTTTTGGTGCGAAAATACCTTTTGAATGAAAATATTTCAAAAAAACATTTTTTATTACAAAAAAATATACTTAAGTACAATAATTTAATTACAAAAGTACTTTTATACAACAATATTTTGTGTACAAAAATACATTTCGTAGAATATATTTTGTGTATGAATTTAAATTAGTTTACAAACATTATTAATAAAGTTAAATAACTTTTTGTACAACAATACTTTGTTTGCAAAAATATTTTCGTAGGAAAATAAATGAAATGAAAATATTTTAGTGCTACAAAATTACTTTAGTACAAAAATACTTTGCAACAAAAACAGCTGTAAAACAAAAATACTTTAGTACAAAATTACTTTATTAACAAAATACTTTCGAACAAAAATTCTTTGTTTCAAAATACTTTCGAACAAAAATACTTTAGTACAAAATTACTTTGTTACAAAAAACTTTGGAACATAAATACTTTAATACAAAATTTAGTTAAGTGCAAAAAATACTTTGAAATATAAATACTTTTGTACAATACTTTGAAAAAAGTACCTTGCAAAAAATTACTGTAGTACAAAAATACTTTAGTACAAAAATACTTTAGTACAAAAATACTTTGGAACAAAAATACTTTCGAACAAAAATTCTTTATTTCAAAAAACTTTGGAACAAAAATACTTTCGTACAAAATTACTTTATTAAAAAATACTTTGGAACAAAAATACTTTAGTAGAAAAGTACCTTGCAAAAAATTACTTTAGTACAAAAATACTTTAGTATAAAAATACTTTAGTACAAAAATACTTTAGTACAAAAATACTTTAGTTCAAAAATTTTTTAGTACAAACATACTTTAGTACAAAAATACTTTGGAACAAAAATACTTTCGAACAAAAATTCTTTATTTCAAAAAACTATGGAACAAAAATACTTTAGTACAAAATTACTTTATTAAAAAATACGTTGGAACAAAAATACTTTAGTAGAAAAATACCTTGCAAAAAATTACTTCAGGATAAAAATAATGTTAAACATAAATACTTTAATACAAAATTACTTAAGTGCGAAAAATACTTTGAAATATATATACTTTTGTACAAGGATAATTTGAAAAAAGTACTTTGCAAAAAATCACTTTAGTACAAAAATACTTTGGAACAAAAATACTTTAGTACAAAAATTATTTAGTACAAAAATATTTTAGTACAAAAATACTTTAGTACAAAAATACTATGGAACAAAAATACTTTAGTACAAAAATTCTTTTATACAATAATATTTTAGTAAAAAAATACTTTAGTAGAAAAATACTTTAGGAGAAAAATTATTTAGTACTATTTTTTTCAATTCGGAAACAAATAAAAATGAAAGCAATGATTTAATATTTACAGAACATATATTACAAGATTTTATTTATTTTCTTCTATACAATAATAATATTTAATATAATAATGAATGAATTTTCAAAAAAAATTTTTTATGATTTCTATTATTATTTTTTGTAAAACGATTTTCTCTACTAATTTATTTGCTAATTAATCAATAAGATAATTAAATTACTAATAATATTTTTCTTTATTTATTAAATTAGTATAATTAATTATTTTACTAATTAAATGAAGCAAATTAATTACATCAATTCACTAAAAAAAAATTAGAAATTAAACATTTTTTCACTAATTAAATTCAGCAAATTCATTTTTTTGCGGCACTAATTATTCAGAATTTATGTCTCTTGTGTTATTCAATTTTTCTTATTGTTTACATTTTTGTTTTTGTACCTGAAAAAAAAGGGAGACAATTTTTCATTATTATTGCAAAAAAACAAAACAATTTTTATATCTTAAATATAGATGAAAGAAAATTGATAAAAAAAAAATAATTTTTTTCTTTATGTGCAAAAATTTACCATATTTTCCTTCTCGCATTTTTTGCTTATCTTCCTCCTTGATTTCTACTAATGGCACATCCAAATATTCGTTTAATTCACGATGCATGTAAACACGTTCAGCATTATAGGGTATATAATAATATTCTTGATAATCTTTACGTTTTTTAATTAATGCTTTAACACGTCCCTGAAGTATTGTGAGGTCAGTTTTTCTTGTCTCTTCATACATCATGTGCATTGTTTTTTCATAGCCCTCCTGATGTGATTCAATGAAATTTCTCATAATAAATCTCGTAATTGGATTCTGTCGAAAGTAAAATATTAATTTTTTTTTAAAAAAAATTAAATGTATTTTCGAATTAAAAATACTTTTTAAATTCAAAAAAATTTTTAAATATTAAAAGTACTTTTATATAAGAAATGTTTACAAATTTAAAAAGTATTTTTATAAGAAAGTATTTTTAAATTAGAAGTAATTTTATATAAAAAATATTTTCGAATTAAAATTATTTTCTAATTCAAAAAAATTTTTCAAATTAAATATATTTTTAAATTAAAAGTATTTTTAAACTATTAAATATTATATTATAGAAAGTATTTTTTTAGTAGAAAGTATTTTTATATAAAAAGTATTTTTGAAATAAAAATATTATTGAATTAAATGAATTTTCATATTTAAAGTATTTTTACTCTCTATTTTCTACATAAAATTACTTTTTGATTAAAATTACTTTTCTACTTTACAATAATTTTTTGCTTAAAAATACTAATCTATTCAAAATTAATTTCTATTTAGAAAATATTTTTTTCTTTTTATTTTCTACTCAAAAGTATTTTTTTAAAAAAAGAATTTTGATATTAAAAGTATTTTTATATAGAAAATATTATTATATAAAAAGTAATTTTAATTCGAAAATACTTTTAATATCAAAATTCTTTTATTTTAAATACATTTTATAATGAAAGTATTTTTCAAATTACTTACAAATATACTTTCTACTTAAAATTACTCTCTACTCAAAAGTAGATTTTACTTAAAAAATACTATCTACTTAAAATAATAAATAATTGAATAAATTATTTTCTGAATAAAAGGTATTTCCAAGTAGAAAGTAGTTTTGAGTAAAAAGTAATTTTAAGTAGAAAGTATCTTTGAGCAGAAAGTAATTTTAAGTAGAAAGTATTTTTTATTAGAATTTAATTTTAAGTAAAAAGTATTTTTGAGTAGAAAGTAATTTTAAGTAGAAAGTATTGTTGATTAGAAAGTAATTTTAAGTAGAAAGAATTTTGAGTCGAAAGTATTTTTGAGTAGAAAATTTTTTGAGTAGAAAGTATTTTTAAGTAGAAAGTAATTTTAAGTAGAAAGTATTTTTGATTTAGAAATTAATTTTAAGTAGAAATTATTTTTGAGTAGAAAGTATTTTTGATTAGAAAGTATTTTTAAGTAGAAAGTATTTTTGTGTAGAAAATATTTTTTATTCGAATTTAATTTTAAGTAAAAAGTATTTTTGAGTAGAAAATTTTCTCAGTAGGAAGAATTCTTCAGTAGAAAGTATTTTTATATTAAAAGTATTTGTTTTTAATAAAGAATTTTTTTAATTAAACAAATTTTTTTATTAAAATTTTTTTTTAAATATAACAATTGATTAAAACTATTTTTACTTTCTACTTTCTTGTTGAAATTACTTTTTGCTCAAAAATACTTTCTATTTAAAAATACTATCGACTTAAAATTATTTTTAGAATAAATGTATTTTTTCATTACAAGTTGTTTTATAATAAAATATTTTTTAATTAAAAGTATTTTTATAAAAAAAATAGTATTTTTTAATTAAACAAATTTTATTATTAAAAGTATTTTTATGTAAAAAAGTTTCTTTATATTGAAAGTATTTTTGAAATAAAAATATTATTAAAATAATAGAAATTTGATATTAAAAGTATTTTTACTTTTAATATAAAATTTTCTTTTTGCTTAAATATACTTTCTACTAAAAATAACTCTTCACTCAAAAATACCTTTTTGCTTAAAAATACTATTTACTTAAAATAATAAGTATAATTTTAATGATTTTTTGAATACAAAGTATTTTGAGTAGAAAAGTAATTTTAAATAAAAATGTATTTCCAAGTAGAAAGTAATCTTGAGTAAAAAGTAATTTTTTTGTATTAAAAAATATTTTCGATTTCTTAAAAGAAATTTTAGTTTGGAAAATATAATTTTTAGTTTAAAAAAAAAAATTTTTTTTAGTTTGAAAAAAGTATTTTTGGTTCAAAGAAATATTTATTTTTCCGAATAAATTTTTGTTTTGGAGCTTTTAAAGTAGTTTTTAAATATAAAAATATTATTATTTTTTTTTTTTTCTAAAAAAGAAAATATTCATAATTACCCTGTAATATTCCCAATATTTTGGCGTATAGCCTTCGGGTGTTTCCGTTAATTGTGCAGGACCAACAAAAACATAAGTGACAAATGTAAGAACTGACAATGGAATTACACCTAAAGCAATGTAAAAATGTAACAAGTCTTTACACTTGTGCCATTGCCAGCGACTTGGTTCAATGCGAAAAGTTTCTGGTCCATGTCCCATTTTTCGTGTTTGTACTGTAAAATTTTTAAAATAAATTTTTTTTCCTCATATTATATTTATTTTAATTATAATATGAAATATATTATTATAATTATTAAAATTATAGTACAATAATAATAATTATAATAATATATTTAATTATATTTTTTTCTACTTTTTTTGATTTTTGAATTAAATTCAAAAATATATTTTTTGAATTTGAACGTTTTTTTTCTGAAAATTTTCTGAATTTTTTTTTTTAAAATAAACGTTTTTTATTTTTTTAATTTAAATTATTTCTAAATTTCGGGTATTTTTGAATACCTACATATATATTATTTTTAGATTAAAAGTATTTTTTTTATTTTTTATTTTTAAAATATTAAAAAAAGAATAAAAAATAAAAAAGGTTTTTAGGTTAAAAGTATTTTTGCGAATATCGAGTATTTAAAAAGGTTAAATTACTAATAATAATAATAATAAAAATACTATCTACTTAAAATTACTTTTATAATAATGTATTTTTTCATTAAAAGTAATCTTATAATAAAATATTTTTTAATTAAAAGTATTTTTATAAAAAAATATTTTTTAATTAAACAAATTTTCATATTAAAAATTATTTTTATATTGAAAATATTTTTGAAAAGATTTTTGAATTTCGAGTATTTGAAAAGATTAAATTTACTAAAAAATAATAATAAAAATAATAATAATAATAATAATAATAATAATAACAAAAATAATAAATAAAAAGTATTTTTTAGATTAAAATTATTTTTAAATTACTTTTTTAGGTTAAAAATAATTTTTCGAATTTTATTTCGTAAGTTAAAAGTATTTTTGAATTTTATACCATAAATTAATAGATTGTAAAATATTTTTTTAATTAAAAAAAAAAAATATTAAATTTTCAACTACAAGTGAACATAACCTAAAAAATCGGAAATAATTGACACAAAGTAAAAAAAAGAGCAAAACATAATTTTTTTTATTTATTAAAGTCAACGATTATTTAGTTTCCAAAAAAATTTATTTTTTCGATTTTTATTTAAAGAAAAAAAAGAAATTTGACTTTTTGACAAACAGTTGCGTAACGATAGAATGTAATTTGGATTTATTTTGAAATTCGAGAATTTTTTAATAAGGTATAAAGTTTATTTAAATGAAAAAATAATAGGGAAATTGACAATTACTTGTTTGTACAGCATTTTTTGAATTAATTGTTCCAATTCGAATAAATTTTTCTCCTGCTGAACGAAGAATATTACTCCACGCTGCCATGTTTTTTTTTTTTTTGGTCTATATTGACAAGATAATCTAACCTCAAATTCAAATGTGAAATTAATTTAGTTGGCTTTAATTTATTTACTGTTTTAATTCACTAATTATTTTAAAATGGTTTTTTTTTTCTTTTATTTATTTACAAAAACAGTTCTCGTAGTCCAAATGGATCAAAAAATTTATTGAAAATAAAATAAAAATATTTAATTCTTCTAAAATTGCCTTAGTGGATAAATCATAGCTTTCTAGTTTTGTAAATCGCCGTCAGATGTCGACACTAATTTCTTCCTTTTTTTTCAATATTTTCGAAAATATATTTTATTCAAAATTATTATTTGGGAAAATAATAGAAAAACAGAAAGTAATTTTAATTGTAGAGTATTTATTTTATTTAAAACCTTTGGAAATATTTAACTAAAGTTTCTAAAATTTAAAATTATATGATAAGTTAACAATGTGCATTACCAACAATTTTGTAATTTTACTTTATTTTTTATATTTAATTTTTTTTTTTAAACAAAATAATTAAAATTAATTAATATTTTTCAATTTAAATTTCTATTTCTTTGATATAAAATTTTTAATAATTGCCAAAAAATTGTATATTAATAAAATCAATAATCTACTTTATCGATATTGGCGGGAAATTTTTTGAAATTCTAATATTTTTAAATTTATATATATTTAAATATTATTTGGAAATAAAAAATATAAAAATAAATGTTTGGCAAAATATTTTTTTTTTTAAATGAATATTAAAAGAAAAATTAATTTTAATCACTTGTTTGTCAAATTCTCGATGGAATAAGGAAAGTTAGATGAATTAGAAACGATTTAAAACGATTAGTGTTTAAAAAAAACTCGTGTATAAGGTTAAACGATCAATTGAACCTGATATAAAACTATTATAAAAAATTCATATCTCGAATATTCGATGCGTCCTGTATTCTTTATTGTGAATAAAAATAGAAATCAAGTGAGAATTAATTTTTTTTTTTTATTTGCTTTAATTAACGAACTTATTTTATATTTATAAATTTTGCAATTGTTTTTTATTTTTTAATTTTTTTAAAAATATTTAAATTTTTTTTAAAAAAAATTTTTTTGTCAATAATTAATTTAAAAAAAATTTCTTAATGCAAAATTTTTATTGTATTTTATATGGCAAAATAATTTTTTTCTTGAAAATACTTTCTATTTAGAGTAATTTTGCTAGTGAAAAATACTTTTTACATTAAAATTATTATTTACTTAAAAATAATTTTTACATAAAATTACTTTTTTGTTTAAAAATACTTTGTACTTAAAATTATTTTTTTCTTAAAAATACTCTCTACTTAAAATTACTTTCTTCTGAAAAATACTTTTTACTCAATATTATTTTTTTTTTTACTTAAAATTACTTTTTCTTTAAAATACTTTCTGCTTAAAATTATTTTTTAATTAAAAATACTCTCTACTTAAAATTACTTTCTTCTGAAAAATACTTTTTACTCAATATTATTTTTTTTTTTACTTAAAATTACTTTTTCTTTAAAATACTTTCTGCTTAAAATTATTTTTTAATTAAAAATACTTTCTACATAGAAAAATTGTAGTCAAAATTACTTTTTTTGAAAAAATACTTTCTACGAAAAAAAATTGTACTCAAAATTACTTCTTGAAAAAATACTTTCTACTCAAAAATACTTTCTACAAAAAAAATTACTACTCAAAAACACTTTCTGCTTAAAATTACTTTCTACTTAGCTAAATTGTATTTAAAATTACTTTCTGTTAAAAAAATATTTTCTACTTAAAATTACTTTCTAGTTAAAAATACTTTTTACTTAAAATTAAGTTTAATTGAAACTTACTCTTATAACTAGAAATAAAGTATGCTAAAAAAACAAAAAAATAATTTTTAAACTAGAAAAAGTGAAAAATAAATTTTTAATTTGAAAAATATGAGGTTAGAAATTTTTTTTTGTAAAAACTATTGTTGGCAGTAAAAAGTACGTGAAAAAACCTACAAAAAACACTATTTACAAATTAAAATCCAAAAACGTATGTCAAAGATATTTAGGTCAGAATATTAAGAAAGATTTGCGGTGGTCATATTCCGACCTATTTATCTTCAACATAATTATATAGATTTTAAATTGTGAATAGGGTTTTTTGAAGGGTTTTTCATGTACTTTCCAATGATGAAAAAAAATTTTCAAAAAAAAAAAAATTTGAACCCCATTTTTTTCAATATTACACTTTAATTTTCATTTTTAACAACTTTTTCTTGTTGAAAAACTCGTTTTCCTATTTTTATTGAAAAACTGAAATGTACTTGCGTCAAACTATGTAAATATAAAAATAGAACTACAACAAATTTGCAAAAAAAAGTCAAAAAAATTTTATTTGACCCTATTTTTTTGAAAAACTAATCGTTGTTCTATTTTTATATTTTATATAAAAAATATAATAATAATAAAATATAAAACATATTTTTTACCCTTGAAAAAGGGGGTGAAAACAAAAAATTAGGGTTAATTTTAAAAAAATATGGCCTCAAACATTTTTTTTGCAAAATATTTTTATAGCGTTAAAAACTACGTGAAAAACCCTTCAAAAAACCCTATTTGCAATTTAAAATCCATAGACTTATGTTGGAGATAAATAGGTCGGAACATGACCACGGAATACCGTTTTTAATTCACTGTCATATTCTGACCTAAATATCTTTGATATACCGTTACGGATTTTAATTTGTATATAGTGTTTTTTGTAGGGGTTTTCACGTACTTTTTACTGCAAACAATAGTTTTTCAAAAAAAAAAAATTTTAACCCCATTTTTTTCAAAATAAAAATACTTTCCACTCAAAAATACTTTCTGTCTAAAATTACTATTCTAGTAAGAAAAATGGCACTCAAATTTACTTTTTATTGTAGAAATACTTCCTACTTAAAACTACTTTTTATATTAAAAATACTTTCTAGTCAAAAATACTTTTTATATTAAAATTACTTTCTACTCAAAAATAATTTCTATATTCAAAATACTTCCTACTCAAAAATTGCTTTCTACAAAAAATTACTTTCTAAAAGAAAATACTTTTCACAAAAAATTACTTTCTACTCAAAAATAATTTTTATATTAAAAATACTTCCTACTCAAAAATTACTTTCAACAAAAAATTACTTTCTAAAAGAAAATACTTTTCACAAAAAATTACTTTTTAAAAAAAACTTTCTACTTAACAATACTTTACACTTAAAATTAGTTTCTAGTTAAAAATACTTTCTACTTAAAATTACTTTTTACTTAAAATTACATTCAACTGAAAATCACTCTTATAACTAGAAACAAAAAATAATAAAAAAAATTTAACCCTACAAAAAAGATTAGAATAAAAAAAATTTAATTTACTTGAAAAAAAATAAAATGGGGTTAAAATATTTTTTTTTCAAAAATTCTTTTTCGGCATTCGAAAGTACACAAAAAATCCTTCAAAAACCCCTATTTGCAATCAAAAATCCATAAAACTATATTGAAGATAAATAGGTCAGAAAATGACAACTACAAATTTTTCTTAATGCACTATCATTTTCTGACCTAAATATCTTTAATATACATTTATGGATTTTAATTTGTAAATAGTGTTTTTTGTAGGGTTTTTCACGTACTTTTTACTGACAACATTAGTTTTTCAAAAAAAAAATTTCTAACCTCATTTTTTTCAAAATAAAAATTTATTTTTCATTTTTTTAATTTAAAAATTATTCCTTAGTATTCTAATAAAAATTTTCAACAATTTATCAAAATATTAAACAAAATCTAATAAATTTTTGAATTTTCCATGGTTTTTTTCTCATGGAATAACGTCATATATAAATAAGAATAATAATAAAAATAATAATAATAATAATAATAATAATAATAATAATAATAATAAAAATAATAATAACAACAATAATAATAATAATAACCTATACAAATAATAGAAAGTACTTTTACTCTAAAAAAAGGGGATAAAAATAAAAATTAATTTTGAATAAAATGGGGTTAAAATATTTTTTTTTCAAAAATTCTTTTTCGGCATTCGAAAGTACACAAAAAATTCTTCAAAAACCCCTATTTGCAATCAAAAATCCATAAAACTATATTGAAGATAAATAGGTCAGAAAATGACAACTACAAATTTTTCTTAATGCACTATCATTTTCTGACCTAAATATCTTTAATATACATTTATGGATTTTAATTTGTAAATAGTGTTTTTTGTAGGGTTTTTCACGTACTTTTTACTGCCAACATTAGTTTTTCAAAAAAAAAAATTTCTAACCTCATTTTTTTCAAAATAAAAATTTATTTTTCATTTTTTCTAATTTAAAAATTATTTATTATTATTGTAAAATTTTTTTTTTCAACAATTTATCATCAAAATATTAAACAAAATCCAAGGAATTTTTAAAAAAATTTTTCATGGGTTTTTTTTTCTCATGGAATGACTTCGTATATTCATATACATATATATATATATATATATATATATATATAAACACGAAACGATCAGCTGTTTAGTTTTCCCCGAACAACAACGGTTTACGCAATATTATTATAGTCAGCGTGACTCTGACGGTCGTAAAATAATGTCGATGAAAAGGTACATTCACACACATTTTTTGATAATACAAAAACGAGAGAAAGGAAAATTAGAAAAAAAAATATTTTGTAAAAAAATAAAAACTATTTTTATTATTATTATTTTTTTTTTCTCAAACATCAAATAAGAAAAAAATTTCAAAAAAAAAAAAAAAAAAAAAATTGCACAAAGAAAGTTTTACTAGATTCGACGCTCTCATCATCTTTCTCTTCCCCTATATTCTCGATTATTATTGGTTCGTGCTCTCCATCCCTGCCACTATTTTTCCCTTTCTTTGTCCGTTTTTTTTTCTCTCTCTTTCTCTCTCTCTCACTCTCTCAGTGGCGTGTTTAAGCTCCTTCGCGCGCATAATCCTTGCCCTCTGTCCTACTCGCTCCCTCACCTACAAGAATCAGTCGTCATCCTTTTCTCAAGTAGTTCACATCGACTCACTCAACGCAGGTTCTTCTTCATTTTTATATTTGCTGTGTGTGTGTGTGTGTGTGTGTTTGTGTATATATATATATATAAATATGTGTATAGTCGACTCGCATGCGAGTCAAAAAAAATAAAATCTCCTCATTCGAAGGATTGACTTGATATAATAAAATTTCCAATATTGTTTGACGAGGATTTTTTTATTTCATCTTTTTTATATTCAGGTAGGTCATTAGGTTATTGAGCTTTGAACCTTTTAAAAAAAAAAAAAAAAAAATTTATTTTTTTTAGTTTTTTCCGAAATAGGAAAAAAAAATTTTTTCCCCCCTTTTTTTTGTGAGGGGGGGAGGGGAAAATTTTGTTAATAAGTGTAAATTAATTTTTTTTAATTGTAAAATTTTCTTTCTAAATAAAAATTAAATAAATAAAATAAAATGCAATTTTAAATAGATAAAATAAATACTTTTGAAAATAAATAAATATAATAATAAAATATAAATATAATATAATAAATATATAAATATAATATAATAAATATTTAAATATAATATAATAAATATTTTTTGTAAATATATAAATAAATAAACATAATAAATAAAACTAATAAATACAGTGATATAAATATATTATTGAATTTTTACAAATTGAAAATTTTCCTAAAAAAATTACGAATGCAAAATTAAATTTATTTTCTAATTAAAAATTAAATAAATATAAAATTTATACTAATAATAATTTATAATAATAAAACAATAATAATAATAATTTTCACTAATAATATAGTAAATTAAATTGTTTTTACAAAATTAAAAATTTTTGTAAAAACAAAAAAAAATTATGAATGCAAATTAAATTTTCATTTTAATTAAATATTTTTTCTTTTCTTGTAAAATTACCCTAATAAGAAATGTAAATTAAATTTTTTATTTTTAATTAAAATTTTTTTATGAAAAAAAAATTTTACTAATAAATACCTATTTTAAAATTATTTTAAAAATATTTTAAATTAATATTATTTTGAATTTCAAAAAATTTTTTTACATTGCTATTTTATATTTATTAAAAATAATTTAATTGCTTTTTTAAAATTAAATTATTTTTTTAAATTACACAATTAAATATAAATTAATTTTTTTTATTTAAAAATTTTATTATTATTATTATTATTATTATTATTAATAATATTAATAGTATTATTATTGTTGTTATTTTTTTATTTATGTTTTTTTTATCACGTTGATAATTTTTTAATTGCATTGTATAAGTTAGTATATAGATTTTTTTTTATTATAATTGCAACATTAACATTAAATTTAAGTGTTATTGAAAAAAAATTTATTTGTAATTTTTATTTCTGTTTTAATATTATTTATTTTAATTTTATTAAAAATAAATAATAATTGGACTATAATTTAATTTTACTTGAAAAATAAATTTTTTTGTTTTGTTTATTTTTTTTTAATAATATATTTATAAATTAATATTTTGAAAGTGACAGCATGTTATAATAAAACGGGGCAAAACTTTTGGTTGAAAAATGTTACACGAAAGATTTCATAACAAAGAATAATACATAATTCTTGGCTACAAAGCAATTTTGAGTGAAAAGTGTTGGCAATTTATTTCCTTCCGTTATACAATTATAAATATTATTCTCTTTTTTTTCTTCAAACTAAATAATAATAATAATAATAATTAGCCTGTTGATTGAAATATTTGTTTTGGAATTTAAAAAGTAGTTTTAAGTAATTTTTTTAATGAAAAAATACTTTTGCTGAAAGTAATTTTTATATATATTTACTAAAAGTAATTTTTAAGCAAAAAATACTTTTACTAAAAGTAATTTTTAAGCAAAAAATACTTTTACTAAAAGTAATTTTTAAGCAAAAAATGCTTTTACTAAAAGTAATTTATAAGCAAAAAAATACTTTTACTAAAAGTAATTTTTAAGCAAAAAAATACTATTACTAAAAGTAATATTTAAGCAAAAAATACTTTTACTAAAAGTAATATTTAAGCATAAAAAAAACTTTTATTGGGAAGTAATTTTTAGTTGCAAATACTTTGGATAAAGTAATTTTCAGAAAAAAATTCAAAGGAAAGGTAATCTTTATTTACCAATACTTTTGCTAAATGTAATTTTTAATTTCAAATAATTTTTGCTAAAAGAAATTTATAGTACCAAATAATTTTGTTGAAAAGTAATTTTTAAATGAGAACAATACTTTTAGCAAAAGTAATTTTTGAGTACAAAAAATACTTTAAGTAAATGTAATTCTAAAGAAAAAAAGAACACTTTTGCTAAAAGTAATTTTTAAGTAATATCAAATATTATTTTAGAAATTAATTTTTTAAGGAAACGAAATACTTTTACTTTTAGTAAATGTAATTTTTGAAGAGAAGAAAATACTTTTGCTAAAAGTAATTTTCAGAAAAAAATTCTAAGGAAAAGTAATTTTTACTTGCCGAATACTTTTGCTAAAAAAATTTTTAGTTACCAATAATTTTGCTAAAAGTAATTTTTAGTTGAAAATACTTTTGCTAATAAAATTTTTAGTTACCAATACTTTTGCTGAAAGTAATTTTTAGTTGAAAATACTTTAGTTAAAAGTAAAAATTTTTGGTTAAAATTACTTTTGTTGAAAATATTTTAAGTGGCAAATACTTTCGTTGAAGGTAATTTTTTAGTTGGTAATACCTTGAAAATACCTTTTTGCTTAAAAAAATACTTTTTGATTTATAAAAAATTTTATTTATATATATATATAATTTTGGGACTTTAAAATACTTTTCACTTGAAAATTACTTTTAAATTTAAAATACTATTTACTAAAAAATTACTTTTTTACTGAAAAATAATTTTTTTTTTTTAATTTAAAAATAAAGAAAATTTTTTTTGTGACAAATTAATTAAAATAATTGTATATATTTATAATTTATAATAATAATAATAATTAAAAACGGAAAAAATAATTTAAAAAAAAAATTAATAAATTGAAGAAAAATATTTTTTTTTGTTTAAAAATTTTTTGAGATTATGTCGTGCAAATATATTTTTTTTGTTCTATTTTGACAAGCATGCTCTCGATTACGCCAACTCTGTCCCTGATCTTAACATTCGACTTTAAACTTTTGTAACGTGAATCGATTTAAAAACAAATTGTACTATTGTACTATATATCTATGACAACTTGTTTTAATAATAAATTGTCATAGTTTGCAATTTTTTTTTTTATTCTTTAATAACACAAATTTAAAAAATATAAGAAAAAAAAAATTTTCTTTTTTCCTCTTTGAAAACAAAAATTAATAACAAAATAATTTTTTTTAAGAAAAGAAGATAAATAAAAATTTTTCTTTCATGTTAAAATTAATATTTACATTAAAAAAAATATATATATTTTACAAATTAACAATAAAATAAAAAATTTAATTAAATTTTTTATTAATTATTTTAATTATTAAAATTATTATTAAAAATAATAATTTTTTTTAATTTTATTTAAATTAAATTTAATTTAATATTTTTTAATTAATAATAAAAATAATAATAATAATAATAATAATAATAATAATAATATTAAATAAAAAAATACTATTATTATTATTATTATTATTTTTATTATACATCGTGCTGATTTAAATAATCAAGAGGTTCTTGAGCCTTGGGATTGAATCCAAAAATACCAAGTTTGTTTTTCAATTGAAAAAGACTATTTATTCGAAGGACTAATGACGTATTTTTGCATATCAATTTCATTTTAATAGAAAGACTGTTCATTTTTATTTTTGTGAAATCATTAATTTTCGGTGCTTTTTTTTCTCATTTGCAAATATTTTTTCTCCCTCTCATCACTATATCGTCATCATTCATCATCAGAGGAATTTTTGTTTACATCATCTACAAACTTTATTTTCATGTTTTTTATCCTCATGCATGGGGTTTTTTTTATGTATACATTTTTTTCCTCAAAAAATTAGGACAAAAAAATTTTTTTTATTTATTTAGTTATTTTTTTATTAAAATTTTTTATTTATTTAGATTTTTTCTGTTTTAAAAAAAAGAAATTAATTTCATTTTTTATTTATTACTAAAAACACTAATATTTTATTAATTATAATAAATTTTCAATTCTTTGCTTCCAATTGGTATTTACTTTCAGTTGGTTTTTGCTTCCAAATTGGTATTTATTATTATTTTTTTTTTGCTTCCAATTGTTATAGATAGAACTATTAAAAACTGTAAATTATCATAAAATTCAAAATTAAAAAAAATTGCTTCCAATTGGCTATTATTGTTTGTTACTTCCAACTTTTAGTTACTTTCAATTATTAATATCTGATTAATTAATATTTCATTTCAATTGGTATTTACTTCCAATTGGTATTTATTTTCAATTGGTATTTATTTAAGTCGGTATTTGCTTCCAAACTTTTTTTGCTTCCAATTGGTACTTATTTTCAATTGGTACTTGCTTCCACTTGTATTATAGTTAATCTTAATATTAGTTTTTGATTATCTTTGTTCATTAATTGTTTTACTTCCAATTTGTGATTGCTTTCAATTGGTAGTTGCTTCCAAATTGGTATTTATTATTTTTTTGCTTCCAATTATTATAGTTGGAACTATATAAAACTAATAATTAGAATAAACTTATAATTAAAAAAATTTGCTTCAATTTGGTATTTACTTCCAATTGGTTTTAACGTCACATTTGATACATCCTAAAAATTAGTTTTTGTTTTTAATTGATAATTAATTTTAATTGATATTTTCTTTCAAAAAATTACTTTGCTTCCAATTAGTATTTACTTCAAATTGGTACTTGCTTCCAATTGATTATTTTTTTTTTTACTTTAAACTGTTAATTATTTTCAATTATTAATAGCTGTTTAATTAGAGTAAAATCCAAATTTTAATTTACTTTCAAATTGGTATTTAATATTAATTGGTATTTGCTTTCAAGTTAGTATTTACTTTCAATTGGTATTTGCTTCCAAATTGGTAATTATAATTTTTTTTGTTTCCAATATTGTTATAGTTGGAATTTTATAATACTGTAAATTAGAATAAACACCCAATTAAAAATTTTGCTTCCAGTTGATACTTGCTTCCAATTGGTTATTATTGTTTTTTTACTTAGTACTATTAGTATTAGTTTTCATTTAGTTTTCGCGTCTAAGTAGTTTTACTTCCAACTAGTTTTTGCTTCCAATTGGCATTTACTTTCAATTGGTACTTGCTTCCAATTGGTTTCTATTTACAGTTAGTATCAACTTTCAATTCGTTTGAGCTTCTAAATATAGTTTTCACTACCAATTGCTAGTTGCTTGAAATTAGTATTTACTTACAGTAGGTATTTGCTTCCAATTGGTATTTATTTTTAGTTGGTACTTACTTCCACTTTTATTATAATTATTGTTAATATTAGTTTTTAATTAGCATTGTTTATTAATTTCTTACTTCCTATCTATGATTGCTTCCAATTGGTGATTGCTTCCAATTGGTATTTACTTTTCATAATTGATTTGTATAAAATTACTTTTTACTTCCAACTTAAATTTGTTTAAAAATTTTATGTTGCTTCCAATTGGCATTTACTTCCAATTGGTTTTTTCATTTCATTTCTTTTTTGCTTCCAATTGTTAATTATTTCTCACATTTTTTGTCTGTTATTGACAATTGTTAATTTTTTTGTAAATAAATTAAAATAGCTATTTTCAATTGGAAATTGCTTCCAACTGGATTTTCTTTTAATTTGTAATTTGTAATTATAATGTAAATTTGTCGAATACATTTTTGTTTTTTTTATTTGTTTAATTTTTTTTCTTAATTAAAAAAGTAAATAATATTGAGATAGAAAATTAAATAGTCTACCACCCATGGACCATAGACGAAAAAGCAAAAAAAGTCGATACCATTGGCGCCTTGTTGACGTCCAGCTTATATATCTTTTTTCTCTCGTAAAACTAATTAATTTTTATAAACAATTTTTAAAAGTAAAAAAAATTTTTACAATTTTTTTTTTAGTTTTTTGAACGAAAAGAAAAATTATTTTTTATTATTTTGGATCGAAAAAAAATTATTATTAGTCAGTTTATAATTAAAAAATTATGTCATTTACAAAATAAATGATTAATATAATTTATTTTGCTTATAATATTATATAGTTTAAATGGCGTGACATAAAAGAGAAGAATAATAATTTTAATCTGATAATAATAATTTATCTTGACATTGAATTTTTTTTTCAATGTTAATCATCAAAAAATTAGATAATCGAGGACGTATTATTAAATTGTTTCAGTTAATTTAACAAAATCAATATCGACCAACAACAATAATAATTATCTTGTGAATTTATTAAAAAAAAAAAAAATTAAAAAATATTTATAGATTTTAATTAATTTTGTTGTTGGAGAAAAAAAATAAAAAATAAAAACTAATAACTAAAAATTAAAAATAAAATTTTAATTAAAATAAACAATAATGAAAGTTTATAAATTAATTTTTTAACTATTATTTGCTTGTAAAATTGAAATTTTTTATCAATTCGTATTTAAATTCAGTTGGTATTTGCTTCCAATTGATAATTACTTCCATTTGGAATTTTCTTTAAATTAGTTTTTACTTCCAGTTGGCATTTGTTTCCAATTGGTATTTGCTTACAATTGGTATTTGCTTCCAATTTGTGTTTACTTGTAGTTTACTATTATTAACAGTTAATATTGGATTTCAATTAAATTTTGCTTTCAAAAAGTTTTTATTTCCAATAGATTGTTGCTTCCAATTGGTATTTACTTACAATTGGTACTTGCTTTAAATTGGATTCTATTAACTGTTAGTATTGGCTTTTAATTATATTTTTCTTTTAAATAGTTTTTAATTCCAATTGGTTTTTGCTTCCATTTGGTATTTACTTTCAATTGGTACTTACTTCCAATTGGTATTTGCTTCTATGCGATTTTTTTTCTATACGTTTTGTACCAGTTGGTACTTACTTCAAATTGGTACTTAGTTATAATTGGTATTTGCTTCCAATTGGTAATTACTTCCAATTGGTATTTGCTGCAAATTGTTTTCAATTTTCAGTTAGTATTGGCTTTCAATTAGATTTTGCTTTTTAGTAAATTTTACTTCCAATTGGTATTTACCGCCACTTTGAATTGGCTTCCAATTGGTATTTACTTCCATTTAGTATTTTCTTCCAATTGGCATCTATTTGCAATTATTATTAGCTTTCAAATAAAATTTTCTTTTAAATAGGTTTTACTTGCAATTGGTGGTTGCTTCCAATTGGTATTTGCTTCCAACTGGTATTTACTTCCAGTTGGTTCCCACATGTTTAAAATTGTCCATTGCTTTCATTTTGTTATTTCTACTAATTATTAATTTTTTTATTTAATTTTTTATTGGAAAAAAATTTTCTATTAATTTGTAATATTATTTTATAATGAAAACATAAATTTAATTATTGAATGTTATTTTTAATTTAATGACTAAAAATATCAAACGTAATTTTGTCTAATTTTTTAAAATGTTTTTCTTTATATTTGTTCAAAGGGATCAGAGAATGGCGATGATAAAAATTGGAAAACGTCGACAGAGCTGACGAGAGGATCTTTTAGGAAAACCCATTATATTTAATTAATTTATTTTATCGTCTGACTAATCAAAGGTGGGCCGAGGCATTTGATTAATTGCTTTCACCTTTTCACATCTCTTTTTTTTCATCAGTCATGGATCCCTATTCATTGAGGTGAGTTAAATTTATAAATATATTTTTTTTTCTTAATCAAAAAAAATAAATTTTGTAGAAAAATAATTTTTTCTCCTTTATTTTGATAAAAATATATTTTTAATATAAAAAATTAATTTCGGTTCAAAAAGTACATTTTGTAAAAATTATTTTTTGCCCATAAATACTTTTTGTAAAAATTAATTTTTGCCCAAAATAATTTCTGTAAAATTACTTTTTGCCCCAAAATACATTTTGTCTAACAATACATTTGTATTTACATTTATTTGTACATTTGCCCAAAATACATTCTGTAAAATTACTTTTTATCCAAAATTACTGTTTGCCCAAAATTAATTTCTGTAAAAATTACATTTTGCCCCAAAATATTTTTCCCATAAATACTTTTTGTAAAAATTACTTTTTGACTAAAGATACCTACTTTTTGTAAAAATTAATTTTTGCCCAAAATAATTTCTGTAACAATTACTTTTTGCCCTAAAATACTTTTTGTAAAAATTACTTTTTGCCCAAAATTACTGTTTGCCCAAAATTAATTTCTGTAAAAATTACATTTTGCCCCAAAATATTTTTCCCATAAATACTTTTTGTAAAAATTACTTTTTGCCTAAAGATACCTACTTTTTGTAAAAATTAATTTTTGCCCAAAATAATTTCTGTAAAAATTACTTTTTGCTCTAAAATACTTTTTATAAAAATTACTTTTTGCCCAAAATTACTTTTTGCCCAAAATACTTTATGTAAAATTACTTTTTACCCAAAATTACTTTTTGCCCAAAATACTTTATGTAAAATTACTTTTTGCCCAAAATTACTTAATGTTAGAATAACTTTTTGCCCGAAATACTTTCTGTAAAAATTACGTTTTGTTAAAATTTATTTTTTTGCCCAAAAATACTATCTGTAAAAAATTACTTTTTGCCCAAAATTACTTTTTGTCTAAAAATACTTTTTATAGGGAAAATTACTTATATTCCTCAAAAATATTTTCTATATAAAATTTTTTTTACCAAAAAATACTTTTTGCGTTGAAAAAAATTACTTTTTACTATAAAATTTCTTTTAATTTTAATTAATATAAATATAATTTATAATTTATAACAGTTAAATTAGTTTAGTCTAATAATTAAATTGATAATAATAAGATATCATAGTTTTTTATTAATAATAAATTTTTAAAAAATGTTTTTTATCTCTTTAAAAATTTGCAACTTTTTTTTATTTATTTTTTTTCTTATTTATTATCATTACATTGAATGATTGGCATAAAATGAGTTTTTAATTTAATTATATAATAGAGATAATGTCTCTTTTTTTCATTATCAATATATTTTAATTATTTAGATTTCGATATTAATAAAAAAAATTGCCCTTGCATGGGTAAAAAAAATTTTTTTCTTTTCCCAACGTTTACCTACAGTTTTACTTTTATAATTTTTAATAAAAATTTTAATTTATTTCATTATTTTTTGTTACTTTTAGAAATCGCAAATTATCATTATTATATATATATATATATATATATATATATATATATATATATATATATATATATATATTGTTATTAATGATAAACTGTATATAGGTAAAATTTATGATTTGTTTAAATTTACGATATTGAAGATAATTATTATTTTTGTTCAGACATGTATAATAGAATTAATTATGGAGAGCAGTTTCGTTCTTGGTTTCAAATTGCACGTTTGTTGAAGGAAACACAAAAAAAAAGAAAAAAAATTTTTTTTTTATTTTCATATCGTAAAATTACTTATTGACTGTGAATTATGTACATATTTACATTGTGAAGTATCTTTGAGATTTTTTTCGTTTAAAATTATTTCTGCATATGAAAAATTTTTTGTTTCATTTTTTTTTGTAATAAAAAAAAACAATTTTTGTATTTAATTCATGGTTTTTTTTATTAAATTTTTATTTCTTTAATTTTTACTAGTTTCATTTTTTTTTTTTTTTTTTTTTTTTTTGATAATTTATAACAATTTTTTTTATGTAAATTAAAAAAATGATATATGAAAATATTATTGAAAAATATGAGAATAAATTTTATAGTCGAATTGGAAAGTTGAAGATCATATATAAAAAAAAAAAAAAAAAAAAATTAACATAAATAATATTTTTCGTGAGAGAAAAGTTAGCAAAAGTGTTTGGGGTTTTGCCTTTCACGATTGTACTTTAGAGTTGGCAAATTATTATTGCTTGAGACTGTATAACTTGAAAGAGTCACGCATGCACAATTCTAAAAGACAATATAATTTTCCACACACAATATCTCTTTTGATATTATAGAGGCTGCTGCAAAACGAACGTGTCTCTATTTATTTGTGTGTGTGTGTGTGTGGGTCTTTTCATATTGACATACATATATATATAAACCATACATTCTTATCGAAACTAAAATCACTTAGACTTGGTATCAATAATGACGTCACTAAAACAATGTCTGCAATTTTTTTCACCCACTTTTTTTTGCAGATATGGAAATTGCTTCCAATTTGACATTGTTTTTTTAATTAAATATTACTTCCAATTGGTTAATACTTCCAAATATATACTAGGACTAATTGAATATTGCATTCAATTATATATTACTTCTTCATGAATATTATTTTCAATTGCATATTGCTTCCAATTGGATTTTGCTTCCAATTGGATTTTTCTTCCAATTGGATATTACTTCCAATTGGATTTTGCTCCCCATTGTATATTACTCCTACTTGGATATTGCTTCCAGTTAAATAATTCTGCCAATTGGATTTTGCTTCCAATCGGGTATTACTTCCAATTGGATATTACTTCCAATTGGATTTTAATTCTAATTAGATATTACTTTCAATTGGATTTTGCTTCTAATTGGATAATACTCTTAATTGGATATTGCTTCCAATTGTATATTGCTTCCAGTTAAATAATGCTGCCAATTGTATTTGGCTTCAAATTGGATACTTCTCCCAGTTAAATAATGCTGCCATTTGGATTTAACTTCCAAATGGATATTACTTCCAATTGGATATTACTTCCAATTGGATTTTGCTTCCATCTGGATATTACTTCCAGTTAAATAATGCTGCCAATTATATTTTTCTTCCAATTGAATAATACTTCCAATTGGATTTTTCTTCTAATTGGATATTACTTCCAATTGTATTTTGCTTCCAATTGGATATTGCTTCCAATTGAATATTACTTCCAATTGGATTTTGCTTCTAATTGGATATTACTTTCAATTGGATTTTGCTTCTAATTGGATAATACACTTAATTGGATATTGCTTTCAATTGTATATTGCTTCCAGTTAAATAATGCTGCCAATTTGATTTTGTTTCCAATTGGATATTACTTCCAATTTGATTTTGCTTTCAAATGAACATTTTTTCCAATTGTAAATATGCTTGCAATTGGATATTACATCCAACTGGATTTTGCTTTCAATTGGATGTTGTTCTCAGCTTAAATAATGATTCCAATTGGATATTATTTCCAATTGGATATTACTTTTAGTTAAATATTGCTTCTAATTGGATTTTGCTTCAAATAGGATGTTGCTTTCAGTTTAAAAATGTTTAGAATTGGATTTTGCTTCCAATTATTTATTACCTTCAATTGTAAATATGGTTCCAATTGTATATTACCAATTGGAAATTCAATTGGATATTCCAATTGAATAATACTTCTAATTGGATTTTTCTTCTAATTGGATATTACTTCTAATTGTATTTTGCTTCCAATTGGATACTATTTCCAATTAAATATTACTACCAATTAGAAATTGCTTCCAATTGGTTAATAGTTTCAAATAAATATTGCTTTGAATCGGATTTTACTTCCAATGTAATATTATTTCCAATTGGAAATTGCTTCCAATTGGATAATACTTTCAATTGGATTTAGCTTCTAATCAGATATTATTTCCAAATAAATATTATTTCCATCTGAATAAAGCATTTAGTTGGAATTTTCTTCCAATTGGATGTTGCTTCCAATTGAAAGCACTTTCAATAAAATATTACATCTAATTTTGAATACAATTTACAAATAGATATCGCCTTGAGTAAAATATTGCTTCCAATTGTATACTTTTTCTAAAAATATTATTTCCAATTGGAAATTGCTTCCAATTGGTTAATACTTTCAATATATGTTTTTTTTAGTAATTATTATTGGTTTTTAATGAAATAATTTTTGAAAAAATTTAATAAAAAAAAAAATTAATAATTTTTATTTCAGAAATTAATAATAATTTTAATGGAAAAATTAATTTTTTTTAGCAAAAAGTTAAACAAAAAAAAAAAATTCACACCTCGTGCAAAAAAATAATAATTCTGTTCTGGCAATGAAAAAAAAAGTGAACGTTAATGTATGTTATTAATTTGCAGAAATAAATTACTAGTTTTTCCCATTTTTTTATGGCTTTTTTTTTATTTGCTAGAAAATAAGAGATTCGAGGGACGATAATTGACAAATAAGCCTTCAGAAATGGGTTAAAGTGAATGTTCTTCATATTAACGTTTATTTTGACCTTAGAAAAAAAAATTTTAAACTACCGCTAAATAATTTATTGTTATATTAATTTATTAATAATAAGTTATTAAATAATAATATTTGTTTATTTATTTACATTATAAATGTAAATAAATAAAAATTGAATAAAAAAATTATAAATTTATAATAAACAAATTAATTTATATAAATTAACTAATTAATTAATAAATAAATAATTAACAAATTAGTTATTAATAAATTAATTATTAATTATTAATTTAATATTATCAATTATTAGTAAATAAATATTAATATTAATATTAACATTATTAATTAATTAATTATTATTAATTTTATTGTTAAAAATTAATAATCATAATTTTTATATTGAATCCAAAAAAAAAAAAATAATGAAAATTAATTTTATTCGGAAAAAAATTATTATAATTTTGCTAATAGGTAATAATAATTATTATTATTATTATTCTGGTTGAAATCTTACTATCCAAACAATATAGTAAAATTATTATCTTTCTTTAATTTTCCTTCTTGTAAAAAAATAAAATTTCTCACTTATTATTGTGTCTCTAAATATTAATAAAAAAAATTTTTGTTTTCCTGAAAACTTTCATTTTATTAGATTTTTACGTACAAAATTTTTCCTTTTCTAAAAGAAAAAAATTTTTTTTTTTTTTTTTAAATTTGTCAAGGAAATTTTCATTACAGGAAAATTATGTGTGATTTATTATAGTGTTTTTTCTTTTCTTTTTTTTTTTTTTATTTAAATTATGATTTCCTTAAAAAATTTTTTTTTTTCTAATTTTTGTTATTCCTTTATACGTTTCATTTCGTCACACAGACATGGAAGATTGAAAATAAATAAAGAAAAAAAAACCAACTTACGTAATGTGACACAAAAATTTAACGATCAGTAAATCATTCAAAAAAAATATGACAGGGAGATGCACTGAAAAAAAAATTAAGAGATAAAATTTGAAATTAAACAAAAAAAAATTATTACTTTGCAATTATTAAATTAATATTTAAAATATTAAACAATTTTTTTGTTTTGTTTTTTTTACATCTATATTTAAAATAATATAATAAATAATTCTTTTATTTAAATAATAATAATAATAATAATAATAATAATAATAATAATAATAATAATAATAACAACAACAAAAAAATAATAATAATAAATAATAACAAAAAAAAAATAATAATAATAATAATTTAAAGAATATAATATTAATAGTTTTATTTAATTTAAAAATTAGAAATTATTTTTTATTGTAATTGTAAATTAATTTACAAAATAATTATTATTAATAAAAAAAATAGATAAATAATAAATTAATTCTAAAAATAAATAAACTATTAAATAATAAAGAAAAAAAAGAGAATTATAACGGAAAAGTATTTATCTAAAAATAAATAAACTATTAAATAATAAACAAAAAAAAAAAAAAGAATTATAACGGAAAAGTATTGAAAAGCAATAAAAAAAAAATTTTCAAAATACACGAAAGAATAAAAATAATTGGATATTACTTTGTAATCTTTAAATAATGTGAATAATTTTTTATTTTATCCTTATTTAATTAACAATAATGACACAGTATCTCCTGAATATGTATTATATATATATAAATATTGTTTGTACAATTTTTTTTTTTTAATAGGATAATAAAATACCAGAATTAAGTTAATAGAGAGATACAAAAACACAATCGTTTTTCTTTTTGCCTTCATAAATAAAAAATGTCGAGGAAATCATAAAAAAAAATAAGAATTTTTCATGTTTAAAAGATAAGTTCCGCGGAATTTTTTTTTTTTATAAAGTGAGAAAATAATTTTCTTTTTCATTTTTTATGAGGGAAAATTTCTTTTCTTTTTTTCTTTTTATTTTATTTAATTTTTATTTAAATTTTTATTTAAAATAAAAAAATTTTTTTTTATAATTTCAAATAATTGAAAGTTTATTGCAAAAAATTTTTTGTTTATTTAAAATATTTATTATTTAAAATAAAAATAAAATAAAAAATTAATTCGATTTTTTCAATTATAATGATATAGTGATAATATTATATAATTATCGTCATTTTATTATTTATAATTATAATTTATATTTATAATTTTATAATTTATGGTTATAATTAGAAAGGCTTGTCCCGTTAATAAATAAATAAATAAATAATTATATAATATATAATAAATAAATAAATTAATTTTTAATTATTTTTAACAATTTTTTTATTTTTTTAATTATTTTAATTATTTTTTTTTGCAGTATAAAATTTAAAAGTTTAACAAAAAAAAAATTAAATTATAGAAATTTAAGAAAAAAATGGTAATTTTTGTGTATTTTAAGAAACACTTTTTTTTTATTCTTTTTATTTTTTTTATTATTATCAATTTGTCCTCAGAAAAGTCTTTTTCATTAAAATGACTACACGCGCGTCTGATTATTATTTAATTGAAAAATATCAATAATAATAAATTGCTATTTATCGATATTCTTATATATCATTTTGCGATTTGTAAAAAAAAAATTAAATAATTAAAATCGTCCAATTTTTAGTTTTTAAAAAAAATTTTTTTTTTCCCTTTTTTATTTTATGAAAAAAAAAAAAAATTTTAATTTTTTTATTTACAAAAATAATAAACAATTTAAACTTTAATTAAAATTTAATTAATTTTTTATTTTATATAAAATTTATAAATTTACAATTTTTTCTTCCCCCCTTTTTTTAAATTAATTATTATGAATTTATTTTTGAATTAATTTTTTTTTTGTTTTTAAATTAAAAAAATTTTTTTTTTTCTACTCAGTGTTGAACGAGAGGCTTCAAAAAATATCGAAGAAAATGAGAGAGAATGTTTTAAGGATGCCATTGTATCGAGTAGAAGTTTAAATAAAGGATTTGTTGAACCAACAAAAATTAAAAATGCAATTCCCGAGGTAAGAAAAAAAAAATTTTTTATTTTTTATTTTTTAAAATAAATATTTTTATTTTAAATTTAAATAAAAAAAATTATAATACAAGAAAAAACAATATATTTTTTTAATAAAAAATAATAAATTTTTTCTTATAATTTTAGTGTAAAAAATAAAAAAAAATTGTTATAAAAAAAACAAAAAAAAAAAGAATATTAGGAATTATTTTTTTTTATTATTATTATCTATTATATAATTATTTTTATTTGTTAATTATTAGGTGGCAGCTTGTATAATTGCAGCATCATTTCACATTGCCGTTGGTTTGAGTATGGCATATTCGGCAGTTATTATTCCGGTTTTACAAAAAGAATCGAACTCGACTGAAATTTATTCAAACTCAAGTTCGACAAATTGGACTGAGCCACATGAATTGCATGCAACAAAAGAAGAATGTTCCTGGATTGGTAATTATTATTATTTTTTTTATAAAAAAAAAAAAAAAAAAAAAAAAAATTCAAATTCGTGGAAAAAATTTTTTTTTATAATTTTTGTTTTTTTTTATCTTCAAATTTGGTAGTAATTAAAAAAAAAATGTTCTTTTCTTTCTATTTTCTTTTTTATTTCTTCCTTTTTTTTTATTTTCGACGCTCATTTCTTTTATTTTTTTATTATCTTCATTTCTTCATTTTTTTTTGTTTTTAACATTAATTTATTTAATTTTTTTTTCATTTCTTCAGTTTTTTTTTGTTTTCCATACTTATTTCTTTAATTTTGTTTAATTTCTTCATTTTTTTTGTTTTTGTCACTCATTTTTTTTATTTCTTCATTTCTTCTTTTTTTGTTTTCGACATTCGTTTCTTGTATTTTTTTCATTTCTTCTTTTTGTTTCTTTCTTTAATTTCTTCTTTTTTTTTTGTTGTTTTTTGTTTTTGATATTTTTCTGTTTTTTTTTTTTTTTAGTAACTTTTTCTGTATTTAATTTTTCCTTGAACAATTTTTTTTGTAATCTCTATATTTTTGAGGGAAAAAAAGAATTTTTTTTTTTTTTTTTTTTTTGAAAAATTAATTATTTTGTCTGGGCAAATGAAACTCGTGCAGATTAATTACGCGAAATACTTTGAAAGCCATTGAGTCATATGATAATATATATATATATATATATATAAATTAGCGTGCCTTGAATCATTTTTTTATCTTTGGCCTTCAACTTGGAAATTCCCGTAATACTTTAACAATGTTTAGACATTTATTATTATAATTTTGTTTTATTATTATTTATATATAATTAAAAAAAAATATTATTATCAGTTATAAATTATTATTTATATAATATTTTATGTAGTGTTTAAAATTTTTATTTAACAATTATAATTATTTCAATATTTTTTACAATCATATTTTTTCTCAATTATATAATAATTATTCCATTTTGTTTTTTAAAAAAAAATATATTTTTTTTTATTCTTATTTCTTCTTTTATTTCTCTTTTTTATCTTCAATTTCTAGTTTTATTTCTTCTTTTTCTATTTTTTCTATTTTTTATTTCTTCTTTTATTTTTTATATTTCTTTATTTAATTCCCATTTCTTCTTTTTTTATATTTTATTTCTTCTATTTATTGTTTTTCATCTTCTATTTCTTCTTTTATTTTTTATATTTCTTTATTTAATTCACATTTCTTCTTTTGTTTATTTTTTATTACTTCTTTTTATGATATTTTCTTCTATGATTTTCATTTCATCTATTTCTTCTTTTTTATTTCTTTTATCGCCCTTCTTATTTCTTCTTTTTTTATTTATTTTTTCATTCATTACTTTTATTTCTTCTTTTTATATTTATTTCTTTATTCATATCTTTTATTTCTTCCTCTGTTTATGTCTATTTCTTCTTTTTCATTTTTTTCTGTTTCTTCTTTTTATCTTCATTTTTCTTGTTCCTTTTATATTTCTTCTTTTTATCTTCATCTTTCTTGTTCCATTTTTATTTCTTTTTTTTACCATCATATTTCTTGTTCTATTTTTATTTCTTCTTTTTATCTTCATATTTCATTACTTTCAATTTTTATTTCTTTTTTATCTTTATTTTTTATTTATATACTTTTTTCACTTTCTTCATTTTTTATTACTTCATTTACTTATTTTTATCTTCATTTTCAATTAGCATCATTTTTATTTCTTCTTCAATCTTGATTTTTCATTTCTTCATTTTTTATTTCTTCTTTTATCTTTATTTTTTCTTATTATCATTTTTATTTCTTCATTTTATTCTTTTTATCTTCATTTTTCATTAGCTTCAATTTTTATTTCTTCTTTTTTTCCTTTTATTTTCATTTTTCTTTGCTTCAATTTTTTATTTCTTCTTTTTATACATTTTATTGTCATAATTATTTCTTCATTTAATTTTATTTCGTCTTTTACTTTCTTTAATATTTTTGTTTATATTTATTTCTTTTTACTTCTTTTTATTTCTTCTATATTTTCATTTTTATTTCTTCCTCTTAGATTTTTATTTATTTTTCATTTATTTTTTCTAATTTTTTCTATATCTTCTTTGTTCAATCTTCATTTTTATTTCTTCTATTTCGTCATTTATTCCTTTATAATTTTTTATTTTTTCTATTTCTTCTTTATAATTTCTTGTTTTCTTTCTTCTTTTTAATTTCTTTAATTGTTTATTTCTTTTTTTATATTTTTATTTCTTCTTTTATTTATTTATTTTTTATTTATTATTTTCTTCCTTTATTTTTATTTCTTCTTTTATTTCATATTTTTATATTTCTTCTGTTTCTTCTTTTTAATTTCTTGTTTTGTTTCTTCTTTTTAGTTTAATTTTTCATCAGCTTTAATTTTCATTTCTTCTTCTTAGATGTTTATTTATTCTTCATTTTTATTCTTATTTTTTCTATATCTTCTTGTTATCTCTTCTTTGTTGCATTTTTTATTTCTTCTATTTTTTTCCTTTACTTCTTCATAATTTATATTTCTTCTATTTCTTCTTTTTAATTTCTTTTTTTGGTTTTTTCTTTTTTCTTTCTTCATTCTCTTATATTTTTATCTTCATTTACCATTAGCTTAATTTTTATTTCTTCATTTATCTTTATTTTTTGTTTTCATTTTTTTTCTTCTTTTAAGATAAATTTTTCAATAACTTTAATTTTATTTCTTCTTTTTATTCTTTTTGTTTTAATTTTTCATCAGCTTCAATTTCCATTTCTTCTTCTTAGATTTTTTTTATTCTTCATTTATTTTTTCTTATTTTTTCTATATCTTCTTTTTTTATCTCTTCTTTGTTGCAGTTTTTATTTCTTCTATTCCTTCTTTTACTTCTTTATAATTTCTTTTTAATTTCTATTTTCTTTTTTTATTTTATATTTCTTCTATTTCTTCTTTTTAATTTCTTGTTTTGTTTCTTCTTTTTTATTTCTTCATTCTCTTATATTTTATCTTCATTTTCCATTAGCTTCATTTTTATTTCTTCTTTTATCTTTATTTTTCATGTCTTCATTTTTGATTCTTCTTTTTAGCTTAATTTTTCAATAGCCACAATTTTATTTCTTCATTTTATTCTTTTTGTCTTTATTTTTCATCAGCTTCAATTTTCATTTCTTCTTCTTAGATGTTTATTTATTCTTCATTTTTTTTCTTATTTTTTCCATATCATCTTTTTATCTCTTCTTTGTTGTATTTTTTATTTCTTCTATTTTTTTCTTTACTTCTTTATAATTTCTATTTCTTTTCTTTTTAAATCTTGTTTTGTTTCTTCTTTTTTTAATTCTTCTTTTATTTTTTCCTGTATTTTTATTTCTTCTTTTATTTCTTTTTTCTTGTTTTTATTTCTTCTATTTCTTCTTTTTAATTCCTTCTTTTGTTTCTTCTTTTTTTAATTCTTCTTTTTTTTATTTTATTTTATTATTTTTATTTCTTCTTTTATTATTTAATTCTTTTTTCCTATGTTTTTATTTCTTCTATTTCTTCTTTTTAATGTCTTTTATTATTTATTTCCTTTTTTTCCTATTTTTATTTCTTCTATTTCTTCTTTTTAATTTTTTTGTTTTGTTTCTTCTTTTAAACTATTTTTTCTTTTATTTATTAGTTTTTCTATATTTTTATTTCTTCTTTTATTTCTTCTATTTCTTCTTTTTAATTTCTTGTTTTGTTTCTTCTTTTTTTAATTCTTCTTTTTTTTGATTTCTTCTTTTATTTTTTCCTATATTTTTATTTTATTTTTTTTTATTTTTAATATTTTCTTTCCTATTTATTTATTTCTTCTAATTTTAATGAAAAATGAAGAAAATTTTTTGTTTGTTGAAAATAAATTTAATTTTTTTTTGTTTTTTCTGCTTCTATTAATAATATTTTTTTTCTTCTTTATTTTTTTTAAAGCAAGTATCGTGATTCTTTGTACGCCATTTGGTGCATTTATTGGAAGTTTTTTAATGGAATCATTGGGAAGAACGAGAACATTACAATTGGGAACAATACCATGTATCGCTGGTTATATATTAATTGCAACGGCACAAAATTTACCAATGATATTTATTGGTCGTGTATTGGCTGGTTTAGCAACGGCACTGGCAACATCGCCTGCAATTGTTTATATTACTGAAGTTGCACGACCCGAATTACGCGGTGCCTTAATGTCATTTGGACCAACATTGGCATCGTTTGGCATGCTATTGGCATATTTAATGGGTGCCTTTTTACCATGGCGTAATGTCGCCTGGTTTAGTATTATTTTTGCTATTTTCCCAGTTTTTCTCATTCAATTTATTGTACCTGAATCGCCAGTGTGGTTAGTGACAAAGGGAAAAATTGAAGAGGCACGCAAAAGCTTGGAATGGTAATTAAAAAAAAAAAAAAAAAAAAAATGAAAAATTTATTTGTCTTTACTTTTTTTTTCTTTTTAGCTTCATTTTTCATTAGCTTCAAATTTTTATTTCTTCGTTTTCTTCTTTTTCATTTTTTATAAGCTTCAATTTTTATTTCTTCTTTTTATTTTCATTTTCAATTACCTCCAATTTTCATTTCTTCCTTTTATTTTCATTTTTCAATAGCTTCAATTTTATTTCTTCTTTTTATTTTCATTTTTCATTAGCTTCAATTTAATTTCTCCTTTTTATTTTCATTAGCTTCGATTTTATTTCTTCTTTTTATCTTCATTTTTCAATAGCTTCAATTTTATTTCTTCTTTTACCTTTATTTTCCATTATCTTCAATTTTTATTTATTCATTTCCTTCTTTTATATTCATTTTTCATAATCCTCAATTTTTATTTATTCACTTATCTTCATATTTTGTTAGCTTCAAATTTTTAATTTTTATCTTCTTTTCATATTAGCTTTAATTTTTATTTCTTCTTTTATCTTCATTATTTATTAACTTCATTTCTATTTTTATCTTCATTTTTCATAAAACCTTAATTTTTTTTGTTCTATTTATTTATATTTTTATTAATTTTTATTTTTTCATTTTCTTTTATTTTTATTTTTCACTAGCTTCTTTTTTCATAATCTTTCATTTTTATTTCTTCTTTCATCACTATTTTCCATTATTTTCATATTTATTTCTTCATTTTTTATCTTTGTTTTTAATTATCTTCATTTTTATTTCTTCATTTTCTTCTTTTTATATTTACTTTTTATTAACTTCAATCGTATTTCTTCATTTTCTTTTTTATCTTCATTTTTCAATAGTATCAATTTTTATTTCTTCATTTTCTTCTTTTATCTTCATTTCTCATAATCAGCAAATTTTATTTCTTCCTTTTATCTTCATTTTCATTTTTTTATTTCATCATTTTTTTTATCTTTATTTTTCACTAGCTTCATTTTCATAATCTTTCATTTTTATTTCTTCTTTTATTATTATTTCCCATTATTTTTATATTTATTTCATCATTTTTATCTTCGTTTTTAATTATCTTTAATTTATTTCTTTATTTTTATTTTGCTTCATTTTTATTTCTTCTTTTTTAATTAGCTTCATTTTTATTTCTTCATATTTTATCTTCACCTTTATTCATATTTACTTCTTCATTTTCTTATTTTTATTATCAGTTTTTATTAGCTTCAATTTCATTTCTTTATTTTCTTTTTTATCTTCATTTTTCAATAGCTTCAATTTTTATTTTTCCATTTTCTATTATCTTAATTTTTATTAGCTTCAATTTTTATCTTCTTTTTTACATTACCTTCAATTTTTCTTTCTTTTTTATCTTCATTTTTTCATTTTCTTCTTTTATCTTCTTCTTTCATTAGCTTCAATTTTTATTTCTTCTTTTATCTTTATTTCCCATTATATTTATTTTTTATTTCTTCTTCTTTTATTTATTTCTTCTTTATCTTCAATTTTTCTTTTAAATTTAATTCATTTCTTCTTTTTTTTGTTCGTGTGTCACTTTTTTTTCTACTTCTTCACAGGTTTTATAAATTCGAGGAGGATGGAAAAATTTCTGGACTCGAGACACAATTTACAACGATTATGAAGGAAAATGAAATTCGACTCAGTAATCAACGACGCAGTAAACGCGGTGGTTTTTTAACTAAATTTCAAGCATTCTTAAAACCAACTGGATGGAAACCAATGTTCATTTTATTCATGTTCTTCCTTTTTCAACAATTCTCAGGAATTTACATTACTTTATTCTATGCTGTAAATTGGTTCGATGTTAGTATTACAAAAAAAAAATTTTTTTTTCTTCTACTTTCTATATTTTTATTTTCTTTTCATTTAAAAGTTTTTTTTTAAAATTATATAAATTCCAATTTGGAAGTTATACTAAAAATTCAAATTTAACATAGAAAATCGAATTGAAAATAAAAAAATTCAAAATGAAGATATTTAATTCAATTTGAAGGTGCAAAATTTAAATTGAAGCTAATAAATTTATTTGAAGCTATAAAATTCAAATTGAAGCTAAAATTCCATTTTGAAGATATAAAATTTAAATTGAAGCTAAAAATACAATTCGAAGCTATAAAATTCAAATTGAAGCTAAAATTCCATTTTGAAGATATAAAATTTAAATTAAAGCTAAAAATCGATTTTGATGCTATGAAATTTAAATTGAAGCTAAAATTCATTTTGAAGCTATAAAATTTCAGTGGAAGCAAAAAATCGAATTCGAAGCTATAAAATTCAATTTAAAGATATAAAAATTTTACTTGAAGCTAAAAATTCAATTTTAAGCAAAGAAAATTAAAATTTAACGTAGAAAAATTAATTGAAGCTAAAAATAGAATTTAAAGCAACAAAAAATTCAAATTTAACGTAGAAAATCGAATTGAAGCTAAAACTTCAAAATGAAGATATTTAATTCAATTTGAAGCTAAAAATCGATTTTGATGCTATGAAATTCAAATTGAAGCTAAAATTCATTTTGAAGCTGTAAAATTTTAATTGAAGCTAAAAATTGAATTCGAAGCTATAAAATTTAAATTGAAGCTAAAATTCATTTTGAAGCTATAAAATTTCATTGGAAGCTAAAAATCGAATTCGAAGATATAAAATTCAAATTGAAGCTAAAAATCAATTTGAAGCTAAAAATCGATTTTGATGCTATAAAATTCAAATTGAAGCTAAAATTCAATTTGAAGCTAAAAATCGATTTTGATGCTATAAAATTTCAATGGAAGCTAAAATTCATTTTGAAGCTATAAAATTTCAATGGAAGCTAAAAATCGAATTCGAAGCTATAAAATTCAAATTGAAGCTATAAAATTTCAATGGAAAATAAAAATCGAATTCGAAGCTATAAAATTTAAATTAAAGCTAAAATTCATTTTGAAGCTATAAAATTTCAATTGAAGCTAAAAATCCATTTTTGAAGCTATAAATTTTAAATTGAAGCTAAAAATCTAATTTAAAGATAATTAAATTCAATTTGAAGCTATAAAAATTTTAATTGTATCTAAAAATTCAATTTAAAGCAGAAAAAAGTTCAATTTAAAGCAAAAAAAAAAAAAACATTCAAATTTGAAGCAAAAAACTTTTAATTGAAACAAAGGAAAAATTATTATATATTTTTTTTATTATTCCTTTTGTTTTCAGGGAATTGAAGTAAATGCATATATAGCTTCAATTTTAGTTGGTTTAACACGATTTTTATGCTCAATGGTCAACACTGTTCTTCTTCGACGTTTCAAGAGACGTATTCTTTGTATTGTTTCCTGTTTTGGAATGGCAATTTCCATGTCAGTTTCCGGTTATTATAGACTTAAAATCGAACAAGGCAGCAATGATGGAAACTGGGTATAATTTTTACAATAAAAATTCTAAAAAAAAAAATAATATTAACAATTTTTTATTATTATTATGAATATAAATTAATATTTTTATTATAATAATGAAATTAACAATAATAATAATAATAATTATTATTATTATTATTGATTTTATTTTATTATTATTATTATTATTATTATTATTATTATTATAAAAAGAGAAAAAAATTATTTTACAAATTGATTTTGTAAATTTTTTTTTTAAGGTGCCAGTTCTTTGTCTTTTACTCTATGTGTGTACATCGATGATTGGAATGTTAACGATACCATGGACAATGACGGCAGAACTTTTTCCAACTGAAATTCGTCATATTGCCCATTCGATAAGTTATTCAATGGCAAATCTTCTTATGTTTGGCGCTGTTCAAAGTTATTTTGGATTAATTGAATTTTTAGGAGGTATGTTAATTTTTTTTTTTTTTATATATAAAATTTATACATTTATACAAAATTAAATTCAAGCAATTGCGGTAAATTAAAAAAAAACCGCCATTTTGGATCCGCCATTTTGAATTTTGAAAATCTAACCATGGATTCGTAATCAACGACCCCAAAAACACCGAGGTATCAATTTTCAAAAAAAAAAAAAATCCGTTGAATTTTCACAAAACTCTATTGCCATTATGGATCCGCCATTTTGAATTTTAAAAATTTGACATTAAATTCATAATCAGCGACCCCAAAAACCCCTAAGTAACAAGTTTTAGGCGAATTTAATCAATTTTAGAATTTTTTTTCGCCATTTTGGATCCGCCATTTTGAATTTTGAAAAACAGACGTCATATTCGTAATTAGCGTACTTTTTGTTGAAAAAAAATTTTTTTTTCCTTAAAATATATATTTTTAAAAATAAATTTCATTTTTAAATTTAATTATTTTAAATTAAAATTTCAAAAAAAAAAATAAATTAAAAAAGAATTTCTGTTTAAATTTTTTTTTGTTGAAATTAATACTTTAAAAAAAAAGAGAAGAAACAAAATTAAGAAAAAAATTTTTTTCTTCCAGCTCCCCATCGTCTTCACTGGTTTTTTGCCGGAGTTTCCCTTGGTGCCGCTGTTTTTGTTTGGCTCTTACTTCCCGAGACTCATGGTAAAAAATTATCTGAAATTGAAGAATATTTCCATAATAATTTCATTGCCGCTGGCGCTGAGTCAAAGGATCGAAAACGTCGAATTAAACGACGACAACAACAAAAAGCAAAAAATGCCGCACGAGAACCACTTAACGCCAAAAGTCCTCAAACTGTTTAAAAAAAAGAAAGAAAAAAAAAAAATATTCAGTGTCTGAGGCTAGTTTACTTAATTTAAAAACAAACATTTGCTATTTGAAAAAAATTAGATTTTTTCCCTTTTTTTAGAAAATTGGATTCTTTTTAAATATATATATATATATATATATATATATATATATGACAAAAGAGAATTTTTTTACGAAAGGAAAAAAAATTTTATAAAAAAAATATTATTAATTATTCATTAATTAATAATAATTAATAATTAATTATTTAAATACAATTAATAAATAATTAAATAATTAATTAAATAATTAACTAGTAATCAAAATAGTAGGAAAATTCGTGTTAATATTGACAAATTTTCATATTGCAATACTTGAATAAGATTTTTCCTATCGTCTCTCTTAATGTGCCTTTTATCGAATAATTAATTTTATTTTTTGTTGTAAGTTCTCTAGGCTTAATGTGACAATAGTATTATAACGAAGCAACGAATTTATTTAATTTTTCTTTTTAAATGACAAAAATTTGTTTTTTTTTTCAAAAAAAAAAGAAAGAAAGAAAAATGATGATCAAAAATACTTTTCTATTGTAAGTAATAATTAAATAATATGATTAATTTTTAATTATTTACTAATTTATTAATTAATTTCAAAAATTTATTATTCAATTATTTATAATTTTAATAATAAATAAATTAATTAACATAGTAATTATTTAATTAATCAATTAATTACCTAATTAATTTATTTTTTAATTGCTTAATTAATTAATTATTTAACTTAATATTTTTTTATTATTATTTAAATATTTATTTATAATTAATTACAAAATTGTGATTAATCATAATAATTAATTATTAAATTAATTAATAATTAAGGTAATTAATTAAGTAATTAATTAATTGATTTATTTATTAATTAATAAATTAGTTTTATAATTAAAAACTACACTTTCCAGATTTCTTTTGTTATTATTATTATTATTATTTTTTATTTTTTTTTTATTAATGTTAAATTTTAGTAATTTTCTATAGCAATTTCTTTTGTAGAATTTTTTTTCGTAATTTATATTAATTTCTACATAATATTATAATTAAGTACTTAAAAAATTTGTTTTCAGAATTTTTCTATAAATAATGTGATAAATATTAAGATACGTGACATTGAATTTCAATAAATATGTTTGTGCTTTGTTCCTTTTTATAATAATTTCAAGTCGATGCCATTATGATGAGAGTAAAAGAAAAGAAAACGGTATTATTCAAAGCTACATTTGTGATAGAATAATATAATAATTATTATTTTTCCTTCGAATATTCGCAAAAAACATGTGATAAATCCGGCATATTTTTTTTATATATTTATCTATAATTATTATTATTATAACAATAAAAATATAATAAGAAATGTATATGCTCGAATTTATAATTGATTTGTTCGTTTTGCAATAAAATAATATTATATATATTTAATGTAAAAAAAAATAAAAGAACAAAAATTGTATAATTAAAATATAAATCAAAATTATTTGTAATTCTTGTAATAAAAAACTAAGAAAATTAATTATAATATATATATATATGATATAGTTAAAGTAGGAAAACTCGAAATTTCAGAAAAAAGTGTGTGTCCCCCTTTACTTTCACAGTTTTAGAACTACAATTGTTTTTATAATAGGGGATGCCTTAAGGATAATAATTTACATCTTCCTCTACTCGTATTTGGCTGTCAATTTTTTTCTACACTTTTAGGTGTATTTTGTGCAAGAAATTGCAATAAAATAGTCTGCCTAAGAAAAATTGAATTTTTTTGGGAACTTTTTTATGATTTTGGATTTATGGGTCGGATGACTTTTTGGTGGTAATAGGTGTGTTCCTCTACTCGTATTTGGCTGTCAATTTTTTTCTACACTTTTAGGTGTATTTTGTGCAAGAAATTGCAATAAAATAGTCTGCCTAAGAAAAATTGAATTTTTTTGGGAACTTTTTTATGATTTTGGATTTATGGGTCGGATGACTTTTTGGTGGTAATAGGTGTGTTCCTCTACTCGTATTTGGCTGTCAATTTTTTTCTACACTTTTAGGTGTATTTTGTGCAAGAAATTGCAATAAAATAGTCTGCCTAAGAAAAATTGAATTTTTTTGGGAACTTTTTTATGATTTTGGATTTATGGGTCGGATGACTTTTTGGTGGTAATAGGTGTGTTCCTCTACTCGTATTTGGCTGTCAATTTTTTTCTACACTTTTAGGTGTATTTTGTGCAAGAAATTGCAATAAAATAGTCTGCCTAAGAAAAATTGAATTTTTTTGGGAACTTTTTTATGATTTTGGATTTATGGGTCGGATGACTTTTTGGTGGTAATAGGTGTGTTCCTCTACTCGTATTTGGCTGTCAATTTTTTTCTACACTTTTAGGTGTATTTTGTGCAAGAAATTGCAATAAAATAGTCTGCCTAAGAAAAATTGAATTTTTTTGGGAACTTTTTTATGATTTTGGATTTATGGGTCGGATGACTTTTTGGTGGTAATAGGTGTGTTCCTCTACTCGTATTTGGCTGTCAATTTTTTTCTACACTTTTAGGTGTATTTTGTGCAAGAAATTGCAATAAAATAGTCTGCCTAAGAAAAATTGAATTTTTTTGGGAACTTTTTTATGATTTTGGATTTATGGGTCGGATGACTTTTTGGTGGTAATAGGTGTGTTCCTCTACTCGTATTTGGCTGTCAATTTTTTTCTACACTTTTAGGTGTATTTTGTGCAAGAAATTGCAATAAAATAGTCTGCCTAAGAAAAATTGAATTTTTTTGGGAACTTTTTTATGATTTTGGATTTATGGGTCGGATGACTTTTTGGTGGTAATAGGTGTGTTCCTCTACTCGTATTTGGCTGTCAATTTTTTTCTACACTTTTAGGTGTATTTTGTGCAAGAAATTGCAATAAAATAGTCTGCCTAAGAAAAATTGAATTTTTTTGGGAACTTTTTTATGATTTTGGATTTATGGGTCGGATGACTTTTTGGTGGTAATAGGTGTGTTCCTCTACTCGTATTTGGCTGTCAATTTTTTTCTACACTTTTAGGTGTATTTTGTGCAAGAAATTGCAATAAAATAGTCTGCCTAAGAAAAATTGAATTTTTTTGGGAACTTTTTTATGATTTTGGATTTATGGGTCGGATGACTTTTTGGTGGTAATAGGTGTGTTCCTCTACTCGTATTTGGCTGTCAATTTTTTTCTACACTTTTAGGTGTATTTTGTGCAAGAAATTGCAATAAAATAGTCTGCCTAAGAAAAATTGAATTTTTTTGGGAACTTTTTTATGATTTTGGATTTATGGGTCGGATGACTTTTTGGTGGTAATAGGTGTGTTCCTCTACTCGTATTTGGCTGTCAATTTTTTTCTACACTTTTAGGTGTATTTTGTGCAAGAAATTGCAATAAAATAGTCTGCCTAAGAAAAATTGAATTTTTTTGGGAACTTTTTTATGATTTTGGATTTATGGGTCGGATGACTTTTTGGTGGTAATAGGTGTGTTCCTCTACTCGTATTTGGCTGTCAATTTTTTTCTACACTTTTAGGTGTATTTTGTGCAAGAAATTGCAATAAAATAGTCTGCCTAAGAAAAATTGAATTTTTTTGGGAACTTTTTTATGATTTTGGATTTATGGGTCGGATGACTTTTTGGTGGTAATAGGTGTGTTCCTCTACTCGTATTTGGCTGTCAATTTTTTTCTACACTTTTAGGTGTATTTTGTGCAAGAAATTGCAATAAAATAGTCTGCCTAAGAAAAATTGAATTTTTTTGGGAACTTTTTTATGATTTTGGATTTATGGGTCGGATGACTTTTTGGTGGTAATAGGTGTGTTCCTCTACTCGTATTTGGCTGTCAATTTTTTTCTACACTTTTAGGTGTATTTTGTGCAAGAAATTGCAATAAAATAGTCTGCCTAAGAAAAATTGAATTTTTTTGGGAACTTTTTTATGATTTTGGATTTATGGGTCGGATGACTTTTTGGTGGTAATAGGTGTGTTCCTCTACTCGTATTTGGCTGTCAATTTTTTTCTACACTTTTAGGTGTATTTTGTGCAAGAAATTGCAATAAAATAGTCTGCCTAAGAAAAATTGAATTTTTTTGGGAACTTTTTTATGATTTTGGATTTATGGGTCGGATGACTTTTTGGTGGTAATAGGTGTGTTCCTCTACTCGTATTTGGCTGTCAATTTTTTTCTACACTTTTAGGTGTATTTTGTGCAAGAAATTGCAATAAAATAGTCTGCCTAAGAAAAATTGAATTTTTTTGGGAACTTTTTTATGATTTTGGATTTATGGGTCGGATGACTTTTTGGTGGTAATAGGTGTGTTCCTCTACTCGTATTTGGCTGTCAATTTTTTTCTACACTTTTAGGTGTATTTTGTGCAAGAAATTGCAATAAAATAGTCTGCCTAAGAAAAATTGAATTTTTTTGGGAACTTTTTTATGATTTTGGATTTATGGGTCGGATGACTTTTTGGTGGTAATAGGTGTGTTCCTCTACTCGTATTTGGCTGTCAATTTTTTTCTACACTTTTAGGTGTATTTTGTGCAAGAAATTGCAATAAAATAGTCTGCCTAAGAAAAATTGAATTTTTTTGGGAACTTTTTTATGATTTTGGATTTATGGGTCGGATGACTTTTTGGTGGTAATAGGTGTGTTCCTCTACTCGTATTTGGCTGTCAATTTTTTTCTACACTTTTAGGTGTATTTTGTGCAAGAAATTGCAATAAAATAGTCTGCCTAAGAAAAATTGAATTTTTTTGGGAACTTTTTTATGATTTTGGATTTATGGGTCGGATGACTTTTTGGTGGTAATAGGTGTGTTCCTCTACTCGTATTTGGCTGTCAATTTTTTTCTACACTTTTAGGTGTATTTTGTGCAAGAAATTGCAATAAAATAGTCTGCCTAAGAAAAATTGAATTTTTTTGGGAACTTTTTTATGATTTTGGATTTATGGGTCGGATGACTTTTTGGTGGTAATAGGTGTGTTCCTCTACTCGTATTTGGCTGTCAATTTTTTTCTACACTTTTAGGTGTATTTTGTGCAAGAAATTGCAATAAAATAGTCTGCCTAAGAAAAATTGAATTTTTTTGGGAACTTTTTTATGATTTTGGATTTATGGGTCGGATGACTTTTTGGTGGTAATAGGTGTGTTCCTCTACTCGTATTTGGCTGTCAATTTTTTTCTACACTTTTAGGTGTATTTTGTGCAAGAAATTGCAATAAAATAGTCTGCCTAAGAAAAATTGAATTTTTTTGGGAACTTTTTTATGATTTTGGATTTATGGGTCGGATGACTTTTTGGTGGTAATAGGTGTGTTCCTCTACTCGTATTTGGCTGTCAATTTTTTTCTACACTTTTAGGTGTATTTTGTGCAAGAAATTGCAATAAAATAGTCTGCCTAAGAAAAATTGAATTTTTTTGGGAACTTTTTTATGATTTTGGATTTATGGGTCGGATGACTTTTTGGTGGTAATAGGTGTGTTCCTCTACTCGTATTTGGCTGTCAATTTTTTTCTACACTTTTAGGTGTATTTTGTGCAAGAAATTGCAATAAAATAGTCTGCCTAAGAAAAATTGAATTTTTTTGGGAACTTTTTTATGATTTTGGATTTATGGGTCGGATGACTTTTTGGTGGTAATAGGTGTGTTCCTCTACTCGTATTTGGCTGTCAATTTTTTTCTACACTTTTAGGTGTATTTTGTGCAAGAAATTGCAATAAAATAGTCTGCCTAAGAAAAATTGAATTTTTTTGGGAACTTTTTTATGATTTTGGATTTATGGGTCGGATGACTTTTTGGTGGTAATAGGTGTGTTCCTCTACTCGTATTTGGCTGTCAATTTTTTTCTACACTTTTAGGTGTATTTTGTGCAAGAAATTGCAATAAAATAGTCTGCCTAAGAAAAATTGAATTTTTTTGGGAACTTTTTTATGATTTTGGATTTATGGGTCGGATGACTTTTTGGTGGTAATAGGTGTGTTCCTCTACTCGTATTTGGCTGTCAATTTTTTTCTACACTTTTAGGTGTATTTTGTGCAAGAAATTGCAATAAAATAGTCTGCCTAAGAAAAATTGAATTTTTTTGGGAACTTTTTTATGATTTTGGATTTATGGGTCGGATGACTTTTTGGTGGTAATAGGTGTGTTCCTCTACTCGTATTTGGCTGTCAATTTTTTTCTACACTTTTAGGTGTATTTTGTGCAAGAAATTGCAATAAAATAGTCTGCCTAAGAAAAATTGAATTTTTTTGGGAACTTTTTTATGATTTTGGATTTATGGGTCGGATGACTTTTTGGTGGTAATAGGTGTGTTCCTCTACTCGTATTTGGCTGTCAATTTTTTTCTACACTTTTAGGTGTATTTTGTG